CTGCAGTGGGGTCAGGTGGGACCTGTGTCCACGGGTCCTCATGTCCAGGCACTGCTCGGGGCTCATGGGGTGCTGCTGGTTTGGGGTCTGGCTCAGCACCCCATCCGTGGCATCCTGTGCACCCCACCCGTGCTGTGTGCCCTCAGGAGAACACCCAGGCACACTGTCTGTGTAATGCCAGGATTTGGGGCACCAGAGGGACAACGGGCATAGCCCTGAGCGTGCTTGGACCAGGCAGCATGGCTGGAGCAGCCCTGCTCAGAGGGATGACCTGGGACAACTGGTGGCATCAGCCTCCCTTGCAGTGGCCTTGTCCTTGGTGTCCCTTGCTGGAAGAGCCACCTGGACCACCACTGTCCCTTATCAGTGCCACTGTGTGCCAGCCCATGGGTGTCCCTGTCAGTGCCAGCCCCGTGGTGGATGTCCCTCTCGGTGTCCCAGGTTCTGGGGCTCTGGGAGCCTGCAGTGCCCCCAGCAATCCAGCCCTGCTCACTAATCATTTACTGGCCAAATTAGTGATTAAGTCCTTCTCCTTGGCAAGCCTGGCCAGGCCAGCACATGCTGCCCACGGGTCCCCTGCCACTGGGTTGTCCCACTGTGCCACAGCCCCCCCAGCCTGAGGGTTGTGCTCCAATGAGCTGTTTAAATGTCTTTTTTGTTTTTCTTATTGTTTTCTGGACCAGAAGGAGAATTCCCTGCCTGGGGTGAGGCATCTCTGTGGCATCCACAGGGGCTTGGGCACCCTGCTCCCAGCTCCTGCTCCCACTTCACTCTGCTCCTGAGCTCGTGGAAGGTGTCCCTGCCCACAGCAGGGGGGTGGAATGAGATGAGCTTTAAGGTCCCTTGCAACCCAAACCATCTTGTGATTCCTTGATTCTATGACTCTACATCAACCCAGGGGGTTCTGGGGAGGGCTGGGATTCCAAAGGCACGTCACCCCCCGGGCAGATGTAAAGGGCAGTGGACACGTGAGGGCTGTGGGTGCCAGAGGGGATGTGGGCTGGAGGGAGGATGAGATGAGTGTTCCCGCTGGGATTTGTCAGCTGCTGGCCTCCAGCCTGTCCTGGGTGTGAACACACGTGTGTGGGTGTGTTCATGTGTGTTCACAGGGTACATGTGTGTGCTTGTGTGTGCACGGAGGGAGGTGCATGCTGGACAAGAGAAGGTTGTGTGGAGACCTCACGGCATCTGAAGGGGCTGCAGGGAAGCCAGAGGGGGATTGTTCATCAGGAACTGGAGTGACAGGGCAAGGGGGAATGGCTTCAAACTGACAGAGGAAAAATGTAGGTTAGATCTACAGAAGGAATTCTTGGCTGTGAGGGTGGGGAGGCCCTGGCACAGGTTGCCCAGAGAAGCTGTGGTTGCCCCATCCCTGCAAGTGTCCAAGACCAGCTTGGACAGGGCTTGGAGCAAGCTGGGCTGGTGGAAGGTGTCCCTGTCCATGGCAGGGGGTTGGAACAAGATGAGCTTTAAGGTCCCTTCCAACCCAAAGCATCCTGTGCTTTTATATGTGGAGCTGCTGATGGTGCTGGGGATGCTCCCAAGGGCAGGACACAGCCAGTCCAGACTGCTGGACCAGTTTGCTGTGGCCTCTGGAATCCTGAGGGCGAGATCCACCTCCTGCCCTAGCTTGGAGGGACCAACATTGGGCCAGGGCTGCTCTGGCCGGGCCGTGACCTCTCAGCTGCACGTTCCATCTGCCCCAGGGCTGTGCCATGGCTGTGGCACTGCCCCAGGCTCGGTGACAGCAGTGGTGGCACGACCGGTTGGGGGGGTGGCAGCAGCACAGCCTCCTCTTTAGGCTGGTTTTGCCCAGACAAGCCTCAGGGACTCCTCTGGGACGAGGACAAACCTGTGCTGCTGCCCTGTCCCTGTGTGGGGTGTCCTACAGGGCTGCCTGCCCCGCTGTGCCCCTTGTGTGATGCCAGGAGGGTGTGGGGCTCCCTGGGGATCTGGCGGTGGGGCTGGAGCGTGGCTGGGAGCTGGTGTGGCGTGGCTCAACACTATCCTTGCTGCCAGCCTCCCGCCCAGCCCTGCATCCAGCCTGCCTCAGGGTTTGCCTCCCTCTGCCCTCCCCGGCTCTGGAGCCCCTTTATCTCCGCCTGCAGCCACCACGTGCAGATTAGTCATGGGGATGCTGTGCAGGCAGGAGGGGCTAGGGACAGAGGAGCTCTGTGACCAGAGGTGCTGGCACAGGGGATCCTGCTGAGCCAGGCCTCAGTGCCCTTGGCATCCCACAAAGCCACTGTTTTCTCCCTGCCTTTGCCAGGAGCCAGAGGGATGTGCTGGAGCCTGTGCCAGCCCGGCCTGTGCCAGCCCAGCCACCCTGGCTGCTCGGGGGCTGGTGCCTCTGCAGGGCTGGGTGTGACAGGGATGGGGTGGTGGCAGTGGGAGGGGATGTGTGGTGGAGCAGAGTGGTCCCAGAGCAAACACCAGGGTTGGGAAAGAGCTGGCAGTGGGTGGCTGGGGACAACCGGCCCTGGGAGGTCCCTGTGTGTGCTCCCACTCGCCAAAGGACTTTGCTGGGGAGGTCTGAGCCTGCACCCAGGATGGGGGGTGGCTGGGTGGGAGGCAACCAAGCCAAGCCAAGCCCCTTCTCTCCATAGCCATGACGGTTAGGGGACAGGGGACACAGCTCCCTGGACTGTCACCTGTCCCCAGACTCCTCCAGCTCTTGGTGGGACGTGCAGACAAAGCTGCTCACGGAGGGACAGGGCTCATGGGTGGCTTTGGTTGTGGAGCTTGAGGGGGAAATGCCCTCTATTATAGCCCCCAGTGCTCGCTGTATGGCCAGAGGATGCTCCCCATAGATCCCTGTACTGCTGGGAGGAAGGAACCAGTGGGTGATTGAGCTGGTTCCCATGTGGGACACATCGGCCCCACGCAGGGTGGTACGGATTTTGGGGGTCAGGGCACCCACTGGCACAATCAGTGTGGGCTCCCTATGCCCTGCTAAAGCAAAACCTGGCTGTAGCACCGCTAGCACCACCTTGCCAAATCTGGTGTCACCTTGTCACACGGGTCTGTGTCCCTCTTGCTTCCCCTGGGGTGGCCACCAGGGCTAGTGGTCAGAGATGATTAGCCCACACCACCCCATTCCACATCCTGCAGGCGGTTTGCTGAGCCTGGGGAGGTTTATTCACCTCGGATATTTCACTGCAAGTCTTGTTTCAACCTCTGCAAATAATTGACTTTTGCTTTTCCGTTGCCTCCAAAGCTCCTAATTGGCCCCGCCGTTAATCAGGGAGGAATGAGTGACTAAGCCGTCTCGCCTGCCCGGGGACCGGGGGCTCGTTTTTTCCCATGAACTGAAAGGAAATTAAACCTCAAAATGTCCTTTTCAATCTCAGCTGTCTGCATGGCTGCCCCGCTCCCTGGCCAAAATCACACAGCTTTGGGAGCCGGGAATTGCAACAGAGGTGCTGCAGGGACGCCAGCGCGGCCCGACCGCGCCTTTCCAGGGGGAAAGGCCAAAATCAGGGCCGAGGAATTCCTCTGGCGGGATCAGCCACCCTCTCATCCTTTGCTGTGAAGAACTGCGTTGAACTGAAAGCCATTTGAAGTGATTTTCAGCCCTGGCACAGGGATGCTGTTCCGCAGTTGCTCCCGTTGCTGGCAGCGCCGGCGTCTCCTCAGGGACGGGTTTATCTCCCTTCCCCCCCTCCCTCCCCGCCGCTATCCTCGGGCAGCGTTTTCCTCTGGAGCCGCTCATCCCATAGGGATTTGCAGCACCCTGCAGCAAGCTGCTCCTTGTGCTGCCTTGGCTGCCAGCACGGCTCTGGGGCGGCTGCCGCCGACTGGAGATTTTGGCTCCTGCCAAGCTGTGCCGAGCCGGCTCGGGGGGCTGTTTTGTCTGGGTTCGTGCCCCCAGCATCGTGCTGGCTCCGGCACCGGCATGCAGAGCCAGCATCCTTCCTCCCATTGCCAGTGCTCTGGCAGGGCCTGAGCTGTCAGAAATAGTTGGAGGAGGCTCAAATTCTTCCTTTTTCGCAGGCTCTGGGGCAAAGTTGAGAGGGAAATTCGAAGTCGAGGCTCCCTGTGCCAAAGGCGGCTCTGGGGGAGGGTTTTCTGCAGCTCTGGGATGCTTCGTGCCGGGGTTTTGGTGTGGGAGCCTCATGTGGGGTCTGGAGCTGGGGTGGGGAGGATGCTGGGTGGCTCAGGGTGCCCATGGTACATGGGTGCTGGCAAAGGTTGGGGGGACAGCCCCACTCCTCCACTGTGGCTGATGTCCCAGGGGGAACAAGGGGGTCCTGTGACTGCCCCCCTGGGGCTGGGAAAGCCCTGTCCCTGCTACTGGGGGGTGGATTTGCAACGTCCCCCCACCCTGTGCATTGAGGGGCAGGAGGCTGATGTGGAAGGGATCGAGGGGATCTTCTCCAGTTTGGGGTGCAGGGGAATACCTGGAAGATCAGGCTCTCCTAGCACTTTTGTCTCATCCTTGTCTGAAGTTTGGGGTCCTGGTGGGGTCCCTGTCTCACCTGGGGGTACCATGGAGAGCGTGGTGGGGCCAGGCTGTGCTTTCTCCTTTGAGTGTCTCCAATGCATCACCAGCTGCAGGGCCTGGATCCCAGCCTGGGATGGCCCTTCTGGAGGCACAGCAGGGCCAGGGAGGGTGTGAGTGATGTTTGGGGATGGGGAACAGAGGGTTGCCCCAATCTCAACAGGCCAAGGTGGTCGGAGCAGGGCCGGGAGCTGCACAAGGCACGGGAAGCCGGAATCAGCTTAATGTCAGGAATTTCCTGCCGGGGAGAGGAATCCATGAAATAATGTGAAAGGCCAGAAAAAGAGATCATCCTGACTCCAACTCAGTCCCTGGGCTGGATGGGCAGGGCAGAAAGCAGCAGGTTCCTCTGTGTTCCCTGCACCAAAGCACACTCTGGCAGCAGGAGGGTGACAGGAGGTGGAGTGGGGGGGATGTCTGAGGGGGCCTAGGTGGGTTTGCAGCAAAGACACCCCCAAACCCATCCCCTGTCTGACCTGTCTCTGCTCTCCCTTTGCAGAGAAGACAGGGAAGGTGCTGGGGGAGTTCTGCAGGTGCTACAAGGAGCAGTACGGGGTAGCTCTGTTCAACAGCGTCCGCTATGAGATCGAGGGCAACGGGGGCCCGCAGGCTCAGCTGCTGCACCGTAAGGTAAGACGGGCTCTGATGTCCTCCCCAAAGCCCAGGCATGTCCCTGCTCCCTGTCCCACCCTGCCAGGTGGAATGTAGCCCGTGCCACTGGTGCAGCCCGTCCCTGGGGTGCTGTGCAGCAGGTGGGGTGGTTTTTCTTTCCCACCCCGTGGAAGGAGTGCAGGCAGCAAGCGAGGACAAGGCTGTCTTGGGGATGCAGCCCCGTAGATGTCTGTGCCCCTGGTGGGACCCCTTGGTGCCCAGTGAAGCCCTGAGTAGATGGGCCAGGCTGTTGTCCTCCTGCTTCTGGGTGAGAGTGATGCTCCACCCCGGGCAGATTCCCAGGGAGGAGTAGGAAGCACCTGGCAGATGTCCCTGACCCTGTGGGGGAAGCAGAGCCGGCTCCAAGTCTGATCTCCAGCAGCCACGTGTCTCCTGCCTGGCTAAAGGTCTCCCTTGGAGATGGAGCTTGTGGATCTGGCACCTGGGGGGTGGGGGGAGGGGGATCCTACCCTTTACTCCCACCTCCAAAGGCAGATGCACACAGGCAGGGGGTGCTCATCAGACAGGGCTTGGAGTCCTCCCTGGAGCCACCGTCCCATGGATGCTCCTTGAAAGCAGGAGGAGATGTGATTGCATGTGGAGAGAGGCTTCTGCTCTTGCCTGGGGCTTAAAGGGGGTGGTCTTGTTAAGAAATCTAGAAAATACCTCTGTGAGATCACACCTGAGCCCTGGGGCTCACAGCAGTTGCCTCGCTGACCCACCTGTGAAGGTGACACCTTGTCCAGGCACCTGGGTGTGCCCCACCTCCTCTGGGAGCTGCCTGGGTGCTGGTTTGTTAGGAAAAATAAAGGAGGGGAGGTTCCTGTGGAGGAGCCAGGCACTCAGTGTCCTCAGCACTGTGTCCCTCGGCTTCCATGGAATTTAGCAGATGCCTTCAGCTCCTGCCCCCTGGGAGGTACCTCCATCCCCAGGTTTTTTGCTTCAAGCAGCCCAGGAATGTCTGAGGAACAGCAGCAAGGTCAGGAGGTCAGGGACACCGTGCAAGGCTTGGAAAACACCGGTGTATAAATAGGACATTCCTCTTGCTCAGTGTCCTGCCTGCTGCCCATCCCCTGCCAGGATCCCAGCAGTGCCACAGGGATGTCCCAGTGCTCCAGATACTGTATGGACCAGTCTGTGGGGTGGCTTTTTGAGGTGAACATCCCCTCCAGATGGACTCTCTGCTCCCCAGGCACTCTCAGATGAGTTGTGGATGGCTAAAGATGGAGGGTGGCACCCTGCCTGTCCTCAGGCAGGTCCAGCTGGGATGTGGCACTCGGGATTTTTAAATGTTAGTTGTTTATTGGCCTTCTTTTTATGATCTCTGTGGGGATTCAGTGCAGTGAGACCAGGGGCTGGTGGCCCTGCTGGGCAGAGGGGGCCAGCAGGGCTGGGGTCACCTGAAACACCAGCAACATACAACAGCAATGAGAATATGGAATAAATATCTCTGCTTTTGGTCTCTCCAATGACCCAGGTGTCCCCATTCCATCAGGAAAACCACCCCGACACCCTCTGCTCCCATGGCACCCCCAGAGATGGCATTCCCTGCTCCCATGACAGGCAGGGCTCATTCTCCTTGGATGAGCCACCCTGGGGAGACGCTGATGGGGACTCCCAGAGCTGGCACCTCCTTTCTGTCCCCATCCTACTGCTGGGACCTTGGGGCTCAGATTCTCATGGCTCCTGCCATCCCTCAGCCATGCAGGGCTTAATCTGGGCTCCTTTTCCCTCTTCCAAGGGCTTTGGAAAGCCCTAAGGAGCAGTGAGGTGGGTATGTGTTCAGGGGGAGTGCAGGGCTTGGGGAAGGCAGTGAGTGAGGTTTCTGGGAACCAGGAGATGGGCAGCAGGGAGAAGAGTGGGAAAAGTTCCTCCAGGAGGGTGCTGGTTCAGTGTCATGGTCCCTCCTGATGGCCACCGTGGTGGATGGTGGGTGGCCACGGCAGGGGAGGCCACACACTCGAGCCCTCACGAGAGCTCTTGGCTCTTGTTTATGTTCCTGGGATCATAAAAATTCCTGGGACAGATTCTTGGCTCCCCCAGCCAGGCTGTGTTTGGGATGGCGTAAACGCTGCGGCCTGTGGGCCAAAAAGGGCTGGAGACACTGAGGGGCTGCTGTGGGAGGGGAGAGGGGGGGTGTGGGATGTCCTTAGGCTGTTCCTGTCATAGAATATTGTGGAATCGTGGAATGGTTTGGGTTGGAAGGGGCCTTGGAGCTCATCCAGTTCCACCCCCTGCCAAGGGCAGGGACACCTTCCACTGGACTTTCCACCATCCACCCTGGCCTTGGACACTCCCAGGGATCCAGGGGCAGCCACAGCTTCTCTGGGCAAAACCTGTGCCAGGGCCTCCCCACCCTCACAGGGAAGAATTCCTTCCCAATATCCCATCTAAACCTCCTCTCATTTAGAGGAGCTGTTGCTGGTCCTCCATGAAGTCCAGAACATCTGAGCACCATCTGATGCTGAGCCCTGTGAGGTGGCTTCTTGTTTTCCTCTTCTTTCCCATCTGGAGACCCAGCTGAGCAGGGCTTGGTTCCTGCCATCTGCAGATGCCTCTGGCAGGACCTTCATGCTGATGCCCACTTGCCAGCAGTGCCACAGATGGTCCCCACTGCCCCAAGCCATGGAAATTGCAGGAGCTGGGGCTGGGAATTGCTGCTGGAGGGCTCTTCTCCAACCTGCTGCTCAGCCAGAAGAGCTCAGGTTGCTCAGCTGAGCTCGGTGTGTCTCCCAGGATGGAGATTGAGGGGCAGGGCTGCCACCAGAGCGTGGTGAAAGCCACCACGTGTGTCTCCAGTGGTTACATGAGCAGCTTCTCTGGGGTTTTCTGGGACTGTGCGTGGGGTGCCCCTCAAAGGTGCCACCCAGGCAAACCTGTTCAGGCACTAAAATTTTCAGTGCTGCAGGAGATAATGCAGCGGTGAACTCAGGAGACCCTCAGCACAGCCCTAGTGCAGCAACACCCACCCAGCCACCACAAACAGACCTGGCTGAGCTCCCCGAGCCAGAGCTGCCTCCCACCTCTCTGTCTGCTCCCCCCAGGTCCCCCTGGAGGACCATGTCATCTACTCAGGCAACATCTTCCAGTACATCGAGGACAACAAGAAGTGGAGGAACCGCTTCTGCGTGGTGCCACACAACTACGGCCTGGTCCTCTACGAGAACAAACTGGTGAGGAGAACACCCCCCTTTCAACCATCTCCAGCGGGGACAGCTCCAAGGGGGACACCCTGTGGTGGTGGTTGTGGTGGTGGTGGTGGTGTGGCCAGGGATGCTCCCCATCATCCCTGCCCATCTTCTCCTGCCCAGGCCTACGAGCGGGAGCTGCCACCCCGTGTGCTGGTCAACAGCGCCGGCTACAAAGTCCTCACCTCCGTGGACCAGTACCTGGAGCTGGTGAACAGCAGCCTGCCTGGTGAGCCCCCTGCACCCCCTGCTGCTGCTGGGCAGCCCTTGGGGGACCTGTGGGAAGGGGTGGGTTTGGAGTGCATGACGCCTGAGGACCCTCAAAAAAGGGTGGGTTTGGGGTGTGAGCATCCCTGGGGGAGCTTTTGGACAGGGTTGTTTTGGGGCGTAGCAACACCTTCAGAAAGGGGTGGTTTGGGGGTGTAGCATCCTTGAAGAGACAATCTTCAGGAAAGGGTGGTTTTGGGGTGTACCATCCTTGAAGACCGTCAAGAAGGAGTGGTTTTTGGATGCAGCATTTCTGGGAACCCTCTGGAAGGGTTTGTTTTAGGGTGCAGAATCCCTGAGGGCCTTCTGGAAAAGGTGGGTTTGGGGTGTAGCATCCTTGAAGACCTTCAGGAAGGGGTGGGTTTAGGATGGAGCATCCTTGGGGACCTTTGGGAAGGAGTAATTTTGGGATGTGGGGCTGCAGGACAGGAGAACAGCCCCATTCCCCCTGGTGGGAAGTGAGGACTCTGCTGCTCAGGTCCTGCCACAGCCACCAGGGAAAGAAGGATAACACATCTGTGGCTCCATGAAAAACCCAGAGATTTCAATGAATTTTAATTTCATTTCTCAATTTTCACTCCTTCTGTCCCTTTTGGGAGAGCAAGGCACAACTCCCAGCACTGGGAAGGAGCCGAGGGGTTCTCGTGTCCCTCTCCCGCCCCGTGTCCTCCTCAGAGCGTCCTCCCCTCTCTGCAGGTGTGACCCCCAAATCGGGGCACTCGCCCATCCTGAAGTGCCCTACGGATTTCCCCCTCATCCTCTGGCACCCCTATGCCAGGCACTACTATTTCTGTGTCATGACGGGCAAGGAGCAGGACAAGTGGCGCGCGGTGTTCCAGGACTGCGTCCGGCACTGCAACAACGGTGAGCGGGGCTGGGGGCACACGGGGGAGGGGGGTCCAGGGGTCCCCATGCTCTGGGTGGTTGGGTTGGGTTTGGGGTCAAAGGGGATGGTTTGGAGGTCAAGAGGAGGAGTTGGGTGGGAGCTGCTGGAAGAGAAAACGCACCTTGCAGTGACTGAAGGAGCTCCAGGGGAGCTGGAAAGGACTGGGGGGAAAGGATGAGGGGATTTGCTTCCCACTGCCACAGGGCAGGGTTAGATGGGATATTGGGAAGGAATTCTTCCCTGGGAGACAGGTGAGGTTGCCCAGAGAAGCTGTGGCTGCCCCAGCCCTGGGAGTGTCCACAGCCAGGCTGGAGGGGGCTTGGAGCAACCTGGGCTGGTGGGAGGTGTCCCTGCCCGTGGCAGGGGGTTGGAACAAGATGATCTTTAATGTTCCTTCCCACCCAAACCATTCCACGATTCTGTGATTGAGCCCCTTATCCACGTCTGCCCCTTGGAGCGTGGGCAGAGCAGGAACATCCATCTGCTGGAGCATCCCTGTGCCCAGCTCCATCCCCCTGCCCACAGGGATACCTGCACAGGGTGGGAAGCACTTGCAGAGCCAGCGCAGAGCCTGACTCAAGAGCTGCCCTCATGCCTCTTTCCCACCCTGAGGTGGAAAATACTTGGTAATTACAGTCATCAAACCCCAAATCCCAAACCCCACCGAGGGCAGCCAGGGCTGTGGGCAGAGGGGAGGAGGCAGGTCCTGCCTCCCACGTCAGCGATACTCTGGCAGGAAAACACGATTTTCCTGCTCGGCTGTGGCCTGGGAGCTCCTGGGCTGAGCCCCAGATCCTGGCCATGCCTGGGATGGGGAGAAGTTTCCTGGGGAAGGCGGTGCCAGAGCTGAAACCTGCTCAAAATCGGGTCTTTTAGTGGGTAAAGAGTAATGCTGCCTATTTTTTAAGTGCTTCTTGCAGTCCTGGTTGCTCTGTGTAGCCAGAATTTTGCCAGAGCTGCTGTTTAGGGAGCAGAGTAAAGGGGTGGGATCCAGTACCTGGCTTTCAGTGGGAGTTTCCATCCTCCCATGTTAGATTAAATCTCCTGAAATCTGCTATTTTGCTTTTTTTTCTTGTACTGGGGGTGTCCAGGCTTGTTTGTCTGAGTGTTCCCCCTCAGCCCACCCAGGGCCTGGCTCCTTTTTGGGGGCTGAGTGTAGTGACCCCTCATCCCTCTTGAGACTGTGCCTGAGCAGCATTTCTGGATGCAGCTCAGCACCCCAGGACCCACAACACCAGGGCACTGTGAGCTCTGGGTAAAAGAGGAATTAATCTCCTACTGACAAACCCCCAATTTATGATCTTTAACTCCCCTCAGCACCCCGAGGTGGTGCTGTGAGAGACAGGGAAGGTGTGAGCCCCTCCACCACTCCTGCTGCCTGCCAGGGTTGTGCCAATAAATCCTCTCCTCCCTCTCCTTCTCCTCACCATGTGATGGAAAAGCCTTCCCGGGGTGGGCAGTGGGCAGGGAGGGCTCAGTGCTGGGGAACTTGTGCATTCCTACAGCCCAGATTTCTCTGTGAGATTGTTCTTCCTGCCCCTCACCACTCCTGAGAGCTCTGGGATACTGTTTCATATTCCATGAAAGCTCTTTTGTTGTTGTTGAGACACTTTCATTTTTTTATCCCTAAATTAGAGGCTCTGTTTCTGCCTCCGGTTGTGAGTCTTGTGGGAATTTTCACCTCCCCTTTTCAGGCTGTATTTCTGTAACAGCAGCTCTGCTGGAAGGACTGGGGATGTGCAATGCTGTCCCTCACACAGACAGTGCCCAGCCTCGTGTCCCTGGAGCCCTTGGCTGCTCCAGAAGTGTCCCTTGCCCTGTTTAGTGTCACATGGGGCTGAGGCAGTGCCTCCCCTGAGTGCTCTTTCCCCTTGTTTAGGATGGTTTGGGTGGGAAGGGACCTTAAAGATCATCTCATTCCACCCCCTGCCGTGGGCAGGGACACCTTCCACCAGCCCAGATTGCTCCAACCTGGCCTTGGACACTTCCAGGGATGGGGCAGCCACAGCTTCTCTGGGCAACCTGTGCCAGGGCCTGCCCACCCTCACAGGGAAGAATTTGATCCCAAGGCTGTTCCACCTGGGAAGTGCTGCTGAGCTGCTGGGATCCATGGATGGAGGAGCACTGACCCCTGGAAGCTCAGCCTGGCTGTGGCTCCCCCCGAGCACTGAGAGGGGATAGATTTGACTTTCTCAGTGTTTTCCCCCACTCTGAATATTAAGCTGCCCCTTAGGAAAAGCTGCTTAGGCTGGGAGTTAATTGTAATCATCTTAGAAAAGTCTGTGTGCGGTGGGAATGATCCACTCACTGCCCTGGGCTGTCCCTCCTGGGAAGGGAAAAGTCACCCCTGGGTGTCCTGGGTGGTCCAGGGATGTGCTGTGACCCTCAGCTGTCATCACTGCTCTCCCAGAGCCTCTGCTGGGGACAGGTCACCCTGACAGGGCTCAGATCCATCCTGCTTCCCTCCTGCCAGGGGTCTGGGCATGGGTGCTTGGGGGTTCATCCCAGGGGTGTTCCTCTGGCTGCGAGGCACCTCCACAGCCTGGGGAGGCTGGGACAAGGCAGGGAGGTGTGTGGAACATGTGGGACAGCTCTTGGGCTGTGCTGCCTGCCCACTGTCCCCATCTCCTCCTCCTCCTCCTCCACATGGGCTCCCAGCACCCTGCCCCCCCTCCTGACGGGTGCTGGTGACGTCTGAGCCCCCTCGTGCTGGTGACCCCGTGAGCTGTGCTGCACTGACTCATGTCAGGGTCAGCCCAGCTGCCTGGGGACGGGGCCCTGACTCATTCCTGATGCCTCTTGACCACTTTCCTCTTCCTCCTGAGCTGCTCTGCTCCCTCCAGGGCTCCCCCTTTCCTCCACTCCCTCCAGCTGCCCTGTCCTGTGGTGCTGTCCCCAGGTCACTGAGCTGCCATCCTGCCAAGCCCCTGCTCCTGGGTGCCTCCTTGCCCTCGGTCTGGCTATGGAGGGGTTAATCCGGATGGAACAGGAGACTCCCAGCCACTGCTTCCCCTCACCCAGCCAGAGACAGTGTCTTGGGATAGGACCCCGTAGTCATGCACAGGTCCGGGGGTGTGGGGGACAGGAGGGACATCCCCCCCCCGCCCCGGCTAAGGTGGGTTGGGGTGCTGCAGACCCCCTGGCAGTGCCGGGCTGCTCAGTCTTCCCCCTCCATGCCCTCCCCAGGGATCTCTGAGGACTCCAAGGTGGAGGCTCCAGCCTTCACGGACGCCGTGCGGATGTACCGCCAGTCCAAGGAGCAGTACGGCACCTGGGACATGCTGTGCGGGAACGAGACCCAGGTGAGCGCCTGTGCCCCACCCCGGGCTGTAGGTGTGGGGTGGGATGGTGTGGGACCCGAGCAGGGCCCCCCAAACCTCCTGCCTTACAGGTCCTGAGCAACCTGGTGATGGAGGAGCTGCTCCCCGAGCTCAGGAGCGCCATCGGCCCGCGGCTGAAGGGGAAGGCTCCGGAGCGCCAGCGGACCTGGATCCAGGTGTGGGGGCTGAGATTGCCGGGGGAGGGTGTCACCACTGCTGTCCCTCCTCCTGCCTGCAGTCCCATCTTTGGGGGCTGCAGCGCTTCCTTCCTTCCCTCCCTGCCACCAGCTTTCCTGCCCCCTCTCCCGGCCCCCTCCGAAGAATCCGTCCTTTCTCCGCAGTGGCTTTTTAAAGCCGTGCCCCTGCCCAGCCCTGCCCAGCCCTGCCTGCTCTGCCTCATCCCCGGGGCCAGGGAAGCAAACAGGAGGAAGCCCAGCCCCGGAGCAAAGCCTGTCCTGGCTATTTTTAGCGAGCCATTTTTAGAGCAGCCCAGGCTAAATGCAGCCCAAACCCTTGCGAAACACTGAGGGCTCTTCAAAACTGCCTGGTAAAACCTTAAAACCCCGTACATAATTACCACCAGGCTGGTAATGGGCCACTGGGGCAGCCTAAAAACACACAAACACTGCTCTCTCAGTAGCTGTGGTCTTAGCTGCGAAGCTGGGAAGGCCAAGGGAGGGAGAAGGGGATGGCTCTGCTTCCTGCCAGCCCCCAAATCCCGGCGTTTGGCTGCAAAGTGAGTGGGAGACTTCAGCGAGTGGCTCCGTCCTGCACATGGGGTTGGCATCCTGAGAGCCCAGGCAGGCTGAGCTGGCAGGGCACAGCTTTCAAATGGGGACCACCAGTATCCCTGGACCACCAGCATCCCCAGAACTGCAGCATCCCTGGAACATGGAGCATCCCCAGACCACCATCATGCCCTGGGGGCCCTGCAGCCCTCCCAGACCTTCAGCATCCCCAGATCTGCAGCATCCCTGGATTTTTTTTACAGCCTCCCCAGACCCGCCTGGGGAAGGTTGACTGCTAGAGGCTCAACTCTGTGCCCCTCCAGCACCACTTTGAAGCATCTTCTGCACTGCAGGAGCTTCATCTCACCCAGCTGGGGGGTCCCTGGGTGGCAATCTGCTGCCAGGCTGTGAGGAAGGGTCCTGGCAGGGCAGGGGGGGAGGCTCAGCAGCTCCTGCAGGGGATGGCTGGGGGAGGCAGCTGGAGGTGTTGGGGGCAGGCAGGTGAGCAGCCTGGCTGTCCCCCGTTCCCCCCAGATCTCAGATGCCGTGTACAGGATGGTCTACGAGCAGACCCACGCCCAGTACGAGGCTGCCATGGCGCGGTGCGAGCAGGAGCGGCCCCAGCTGGAGAGCACCATCCGCACCGACATGGACCAGATCATCACCTCCAAGGAGCACCTGGCCAGCAAGATCCGAGGTGCAGCCCCTCAGGGATGTGTGTGGATGCGTCCAGGGCCAACTCCTGGGGGTGGCATCTCCCCCGTTCCACCGAGGTGTGGCCGTTCCCGGGGTGCAGCCCTTGGAACCCTGGGGGAGATGCCACCAGCCATAGTTTTGGGGTGCATGTCCTTCAGTGGCATTGTCCCAGGAGGTGGGGACAAGGTGGGAAGCCACCCCTTCAAGCGTGGTAGGAATGGGTTCAGCACAGAGCAGGGGCCCTCTGCAAGAAGGGTTGTCCTGCAAGTGGGAGCCCTCTGGGTCCTTGTCCCTGGGGCGGGTTTAGGGCCTGGTGTGAGGAGCTGGGAGGGCAGAGAGGAGCCTCACCACACTTCCCCCTGCTCTCTCCAGCCTTCGTGCTGCCCAAAGCAGAGGTCTGTGTCAGGAACCACGTCCAGCCCTACATCTCCTCCATCCTGGAGGCCCTGATGACCCCCACGAGCCAGGGCTTTGCCGAGGTGAGGGAGGTGTTCTTCAAGGAGGTGACGGACATGAACATGAACGTCGTCAACGAGGGTGGCCTGGAGAAGCTGCCAGAGGTGAGACCTGGCAGTGCTCCTCGCTGGCCTTAGGGGTTGGCAGGGCCACTCCTGCTGCTCTCCCCAGTGTGGGCAGCGCTGGGGGACCCCAGGCTGGGAAAACACGTGGGAATTTTTTCCCATGAGTACATGGAGAGGCTGTCCCACCCTGCTGAGCCTGGCTTTGTCCCCAGTACATGGAGAAGCTGTCCCACCTGGCCTTCCACCCTGTGAAGATGCAGTCGTGCTACGAGAAGATGGACCAGCTGAAACTGGAGGGTCTCCAGCAGCGATTCGATGTCTCCAGCACGTCTGTCTTCAAGCAGAGGGCCCAGATCCACATGAGACAGGTGGGATGGGCACTGGGGTCATCCCATATCCCCCTGGGCTGGGCATAGAGGGCTGGAATCCCGGGGTTTGGCTGGGATATCTGTCCTATCTCAGGCTGTGGATGCCACGCTGGGCTGTCAGGGACCTTGCCAGAGGGAAGGATATTTGCCTGTTGGATGTTAAAAATAAATTCTTCCCTGGAAGGGTGGGCAGGCCCTGGCACAGGTTGCCCAGAGAAGCTGTGGCTGCCCCTGGATCCCTGCAAGTGTCCAAGGCCAGGTTGGATGGGGCTTGGAGCAACCTGGGCTAGTGGAAGGTGTCCCTGCCCATGGCAGAGCGTGGTACAAGGTCTCTTTAAGGTCCCTTCCAACCCAAACCAGTGTGGGATTCTGTGATAAGGCTCATTCTGGTGTGTCACTGCCCCCAGAGACCCCTGCCCACCCCTGTGCTTGGTCCCTCTGGGTGCCCCTCCCATGCTGACCCCTTTCCTCTGCTCCCAGCAAATGGATGATGCCGTGCACACCTTCGAGACGCTGCTGCACCAGGAGCTGGGGAAGCTGCAGGGCAAGGACGACCTGTGCAAGTCCATCCAGCGCATCCTCGAAAGGGTGCTCAAGGTGAGGCCTTTGGTGGCCCTTGGTGGCCTTGTTCCAAGGCCAGGGAAGATGCCTGGAGTGATGCTATCTGCTTCAACAGAAGTCTTCTGGGGAAATACTTCTCTATATTGAGGTTTTCATGGGTTTGCTGGGGCAGGTGAGTGGGAAATCATCTGGAGGACCCAGGTCCCTGTCACTGTAAAAGCCACCCAGGGTTCAGACTGGCCCTCAGACCTTCCTTCAGCCAGTGATGGAGGAGATGGCTTCTCCCCAGGCTCAGGCACCCTGGGAAGCAGCTGGAAAGAGGGTTGTGAGGGCAGAGGAGTCTGTTCACACCTCTATAAATGGGGTAGGGGGGAAAACCTCAGGGGTTTGTCCCCGAGGTCAGGGGGCTGTCAGCCCTCTGTGACCTGGGGCACCCTCTCACCTGCCCTGCAGAAATTTGACTACGACAGCAGCACCGTGAGGAAGAAGTTCTTCAGGGAGGCCCTGCTGCAGATCACCATCCCCTTCCTGCTGAAGAAGCTGGCACCCACCTGCAAGGGGGTAAGAGGGGAAAACCTGGGCTGTGGGGAGGCACCACCTCCCCCTGCCGAGGGGCTGGAGCGTCTCTCCCACCGGGGCTGAGCCACCCGCTCTCCCGGCAGGAACTGGCCAAGTTTCAGGAGCTGATCTTTGAGGACTTTGCCAGCTTCATCCTGGTGGAGAACACCTACGAGGAGGTGGTGCTGCAGTCGGTCATGAAAGACATCATGCAAGGTAAGGCTCCCGTGGCACCTGTGTGAGGAGATGGTGACTCCCTGCTGGGGGCTGTATGAGGAGGGGGTGACCCCGTGCAGGGTGCTGGGGGCTGTATGAGGAGGGGGTGACCCCATGCAGGGTGCTGGGGCTCCCCCAGCAGCAGCTTTCCCACAGTTTGAGCGGTGGGTGGGACCCTGAACCCCCTTGCCCAGCTGCAGACCCCACGCCCCGTCCCCACGGGGAGGTCTGGCAGAGGTGCCCCGTCCTGGCCGGCACCCGCAGCCCCCCTGACCCCGCTCTGCTCCATCCCCCCACAGCCGTGAAGGAGGCGGCGGTGCAGAGGAAGCACAACCTGTACCGGGACAGCATGGTCATGCACAACAGCGACCCCAACCTGCACCTGCTGGGCGAGGGCATCCCCATCGACTGGGGCGAGGAGTACCCGGGGCAGCCCGAGCCCGAGCCGGCCGGGCAGGGCGATCGGCGCCGCAGGGCCAAGCAGGTGGTGTCGGTGATCCAGGACGACGAGGGGGCCCTGCCCTACGAGATGGGCAGCGAGGCGCTGCTGCAGCCCTGCTCCCCACAGCCCCGGGGGGAGGATCCCGGAGCGCCCCCCGGCTCCCCGGATGGGGTGAAGGAGATCCGGGAGGCGCTGGCGCAGGAGAGCCTCGGGGACGGCGCTGGGCGGGAGGAGGAGGAGGAGGAGCAGCTGACGAACGGCAGAGAGAGCGGTGCCAGCGAGGAGGGGGTGGCAGGGCCTGTGCCAGGGGATGTCACCCCCCGACGTCCTGCCAGGGAAGGGGACGGGATGCATCGCCCCTCACCGGCATCGCCTGGAGCCGAGGCCCCGTCTGGGGCTGGGATGAGACGTGTTGCACCAGCACCGCCTGTGCCCGGAGCTGAGGGCACACCAGGGGCTGGGGGGCGACGTCCTGCACCAGCATCACCTGCCCCTGGAGCTGATGTCCCACCAGGGGCTGGGGAACAACGTCCTGCACCAACATCTCCTGTCCCTGGAGCTCAGATCCCATCAGGGGCTGGGGAACAACGTCCTGCACCAGCACCTCCTGTGTCCAGAGCTGATATCCCATCAGGGGCTGGGGAACCAGCATCTCCTGTCCCTGCACCAGCATCTCCTGTCCCTGGAGCTGATGTCCCATCAGGGGCTGGGGAACAGCGTCCTGCACCAGCATCTCCTGTGCCCAGGGCTGATGTCCCATCAGGGGCTGTTGTGCCACAGGCCACGCCAAGATCATCCTTGCTGTCATCCCCTGTGCCCGGAGCCGATGTCCCCTCAGGGGCTGAGGTGCCACAGGCCACACCAAGGTCATCCGTGCCGGCATCACCTGGAGTCAACGTCCCACCGGAGCCCAGCCTGCACCACGCTGCACCAGCATCCCCCAAAGCCCGGGCCGATGTCCCAGCAGAGGTGCCCCACGGCACACCAGCATCATCACCTGGCGCCGGGACAGCGTGTCACCAGCCCAGCGACCAGGAGACGGGCGAGGATGTGACCCCTCCAGGCCCCCCGCAGCCCACGGGCACCACAGAGAGCGGTGAGGGGGTGCAGACTGAGTTCTAGCCCGGCCCCCCCCTGCTGTGGACTGGCCCCGGGGACGCTTGGGGTTGGGGAAAGGGGGGAATAGGACCCCTGCCGGGGATGGAGAGCAGCGCCGCGGGAGAGGGAGGGGATGGGAACACCGAGACCTTACTGCCTTGCCGGGGGTCCCCGCTGCCGTGGGGGGGGCTGGCCACAGCCACCGGGTCGGACTAGGGGTGGCCCCAGCCCGGCACAGGGCACCCCCTGCACTCTGCTCTGTCCTTCTTCTGCCTTATTTCCTTTTCTACTGAAGAGATGCTTTACTGAAGAGATGCTTTATCTGCCCCCCCGCCCCAGCACAAGTGCCCGGGGCTGCTGGAGGGGCTGGCACTAGCCCCACTCGGGGTGGGGTGTGGGATGCTCCTGCCTGCCCCGGGGCCATCCCCTGCCCCAATCCGAGGGGTTTCCCGGGAGCTTGCTCATCACCACCCCACCCGGCCGGCTCCGGGAGCGCCAGTGGGACTGGGGGCTGCGGGGGATCGTGGATAACGTGACGACGAACAGGGGCACGGCAGGGATACAGCCACGAAGAGCTGCTGAGGAGGGGGGCGAGAGCCGGGGCAAGCACGGGCTGGTGGCACCCAGGCTGGGCTTACAGTATCCAGGCTGGGCTTACAGCATCCAGGCTGGGTTTATGGCACCCAGGCTGGGCTTACAGTATCCAGGCTGGGCTTACAGCATCCAGGCTAGGCTTATGGCACCCAGGCTGGGCTTGTGGTACCCGGGCTGGGCTCATATTGTCCAGGCTGGGCTCACAGCTCACCCTCACCCCGCGGTCTTCTAGCAGCTATTGAAGTTCAGAGAGACATCTCTGGGGGAAGGTGGCACTCACACCGTGTCCCCAGCCGTGTCTGGCAGCACTGGGCTGTCTCCAGGCTCAGCTCGCTGTGCAGGGGAGGGATCCCAGGGATCCCCTGCCCTCTGGAGCTCCCCCGTTCCGTGCTCGGACCGTTCCTGCAGCTCTCAGGCCGTGCGGGTTTTGGCACCGGCAGTGACGGTCGAGCAAAGAGCAGTGGTTGGCTGACCCTCCCCAGCAGCCCTGCCCACCGTGGGGAGGGGGATGGGACTGCTGCAAACCCGCCTTCCCCAGCGATGCCAAAAGCCCTGGGGCTGGTGGGGATCTGCAGGACTCGGGGTGGGGGGGGGGAAGGTGAGACGCGTGCATGAGTGTGCACCCAGCAGGGCCCAGCCCACGACACTCACCTGTGCTTTAGGGGCCAGTTTCTGCCCCACTGAAGGGGGGGATGCCCAGCCTAACCCACTCGGGGAGGCCTCGCCCCCCCCTCCCAAAAAAAAAAAAAAAAGTGCCTTGCTTTGGGAACTTAAAATCTGTCTCTTCCAGGATATTTTATTAAGAAAGTTATACAAATGTTTAAAGATATGCTTATAATAATTAATAAAATGGAAAAGCTTTATTTAAAGCCAGAGGAGGTTTGTCCTTGTTCCTGAACCTCCCTCCCGGGGAGCAGGGCTGGGGACCCCCATTCCTGCTGTGACCAGGGGGTGTCACATCCTGAGACCACCCAGCAGCGACACAAACCAGGAGCAGAGTGACTGAGATGATTTTATTAAAAGGGGTGTCCTGAGGAAGCAGCAAGAGGTGCCTGGAGCAGCAGTGTCCCCATAGCTCGGGGGCTGCTCCGACCCCATCCCTGAAGCACTGGCAGGAGGGGGGTGGGTGGGGGGCAGCAGGACCCCCCCCCAGCATCCCCAGAAGGCACTGTGTGAAGAGGGGCTCGGTGCAGGGCAGCTCTAGGGCAGGAGGGCAGTGGGCCCTGTCCCCAGCGTGTCCCCTTCCCCAGCAAGTCACCGGACCATTCCCGTTCCAGCCAGGATGAACCTCCTCGAAAAGTGGGGAGGGAAAGGAAATGCCCAGCACCCCCTCGCTGTCAGCACCTGCCCAGAGCTCCCTGAGAGCCAGGGGACAGCCACCAGCCTGGCAGTGCTGGCCGTGGGGCTCCCTGTCCCCAGCACTGCCCCAGCCCGGCAGGGCAGCGAGTCCCTGGGGCTCTGCGTCCCACCCAGCACAGGGGACAGGGACAGAGCCAGCAGAAGTGACAGCAGCTATTCCAGACAGAGGAGCAGGAGGTGGGGGCACGTGTCCCACCACCCCGGGGGGGGGTCTAACCCCGGCCGAGCAGGGGGTACACCACGAAATAGCCCAGCGTGGAGCCCGCGATGGCCCCCAGGAAGATCCAGGCATTGTAGGACATCACAGCCAGCATCACCATGTAGCCCAGCACCACCTGCACCACGTGGAACAGCGTCTGCCCCACGTGGTACCGGAACCACCTGTGGGACAAGATGGGAAACCCCATCACTGAGTGGCTGGGACACCTCATATTCCCCCCTGCCAGGAGCCCGGAGCAGCCGGGGATGGGGTTGGGGAGCAGGGAGAGGGATGGGGGCTGCAAACAGCATCCCAGGGGGAAATCCTGCTCCAAAGGGGATTTTATTAAGAAAAATAGGATGTTATAGGGGAGGACATTATTAAGATGTTGGCAGTAAGAGCAGCCTCAGGGATTACACGTGAGAGGAAAAACCCAGGGCTTGGCTCCAAAGGAAGGAATCGCTGGGAATCTCCTGCTTGTGCCCATCCCCGAACCATGAAGACCCTCCTGCACCCACAATGGCTCTTGTGGGGGGAAAAATGAGCCTTTAGACATTACCCTGGACATCTCCCAGAGCACCAGGAGGGACTGGGATGCCCCTGGAGCCACCTCCCCAGGCTGTACAAACA